CCTGAACAATATCTTCTTCATTCTCTTATATTATGGCGGGCTTATATTACAAATTATTATAAAGAGATATAAAATATTGTCTGATGAGTTTTATTTTCAAATAAAACGAAACGCGTCGCAATAAACAACAATTTTAGTTTATATGGCACCACGAACAATATTCTAAACAAGCATATATATATACTTATATATAAAATACAAAAAGTAGTTCAAGCGTTTTTTATACAAAAAACATTCAGTTGTATAAATTAAAGTTTTAAGTTGGATTTAAGGAGTCTTAAGCCAAGGCACTTGTTCTCGTATCACTCTCTATCTCTGCTAATAGCAGTCAGAAACGCGTCTAGTAACAGTTTCTGTTTGTTATTCACCAAGTATAAAAAGATAAAGGTCCAACAAAAAACTATACGTCTAATTTCTTGATCTGAAAAGCGTTATTTTAGAAATATGAAGGGCTCGCTAAAAAAACGGGAAACATCTTTCGAAAAACGAAACAAACTTACACGTTTCTTCTAAAATATCTCAGAAATTTTCTTTTCGTGATCTCACGTAGAAAGTGTAAAAAACACGTATTTTTATCAGACGAAGCGTAGGTCCAAAGTCCAAAAATCTAAAAGATATTGACAGTCAATGGACTATTTAAGTCTACCAAAACGTCCAGTGATCCATGAAACCTGAAAGTTCACTTCTTTTTTTTCTTATTGAAATGCATATTTAGTCCTATAAGATATTTTTTATATCAAACAACCAAAAACATTTAGGATAATATTTAAACGTGTTTGTCGACACGCCAATTGAAAATTTAAAATAATTTTTCACTCTTATCTTTCTTTTATTTGGTTGGATAATTTTCTAATATGTGATCTGTCTATTTTCACAATATCGAACATACATTAATCTTTTCTCTTGTATATATATATACAGTCAAAAACAGTTAATTTTTTCTTCTCTTTCAACCAATCCCTTCTTCTATATGATTAAATAAAGCTTAGCAATCAATCAGGATAAGGTTATATTTTATTCACTATTATTGAGAAAGAAGAAAGAATAGAAAAACACTCTGTTGCCTATAGGGTCCCGCTTTTTTTCCACTAAAAAATATGGAAGACATATACATTGACATGAAAAAAAACTATGTATGAGTACTACTCTTACCGTATTCTGTTATACAGAAGAGAAAAAAAAAAGAAATATAAGAAAATTAGATAGAAATACACACGCACACATATTTGTACACATCGGACGAAGAAAAAAAAGGCAAAAAATGAGAGAAAAGAAAGAAAATCGTGAGGTCGGATTGTTTTTTTTCATTTTGTATTTGCCGATCTTATCGAGAGTTGAGTTGCGCGCGCGTGTGTGTGTGTGTGTGTGTGTGTGTACGCGTACGTGTACGTGTACGTATGAACATTCGACAGAAGTAAGTAAATGTTACAAATAACGAACGAACACGATTTTTTACCAACGTTTTTTGTGAGAAAAAACCCAAACTCTTATTCTTTGTCCTAGAAAAAAAATTCAATATTTTTTATATGATGTAATATTAATTCAGCTTTTTTGTGTACGTTAAAGGTAATCATCATTGCTACATCGAATAAGAAAACGAGAAGAAATGAAGGTATATTTTTTCCACCTTGACAGAACATTACGTGTATTTGTCAAGAAAATTGGTTTTTTTTTTTCCTCAAAATTAAGTGATAACCTTGACAAGTGGATTAAACATAGGAATAGGATGAATATCTTAGAGTAATTATAAGAATGACGATGAATGTACTCTAAAGTACATTTTCTGATATGACAAAAGGCGTTAAGTTGATCTTTGTGATTCATCTTTGGAAAAAATTTCTCTATTCGTACAACTCTCTCTTCAAAAATCTTTTATGGACGACATAATCATCTTGAGCTATATACAAGAATAAATATTAAATGGTTATAATTGAGAAATATGAACTAGGATATGTACAAAGTTAAAATAAAAAAAAGAGTAACAACTGTAGCTGGTGATCTTCAATTCACTAATACGTCAACTAGTGTAAAAGTAAGTTAAACCTTTTGATTATGATCATCTAATAATTAACCTAATTTTGTAGGATAAAAATAAATTCTTTTTCGATACATTCATTAGTGAAAAAAAAAGAAGAAGAGATAAATAGTAAGAAAATCGTTAGAATCATCTTCAAATTGTTTTTTTTACAGCTAAGATGAACACATTCATCTGTAAGCACTAATGTGACACACACTGTGAAAGAATTTTTCTTTTTACAGAACAAGAATATTCTTTTTTCTTCTTTATCCTGAACAAAGTAGACGACGTCTACCATCATCCTCATTATTCTTGCGTCTGCAATAGTAAATTCAACCATATGTGAATATAGTTGAGTAGTGTCATTTCTTTGGGTTGTGTTCTGTTTTCTTTTTTTTCCTATGCAGTAAAGAATTCATTCATTTTTCTTTCTTTTCTTCTTCTTTCGTTAAAGATTACTACAATGATTTAAAATATGTTCATCATATTTTAGACCTGTATATAATAGCAAAGAAGATCCTATAAGTTTGAAAATGTAACTATTGTCTTGTGTTGAACATCTTATACCTTATCATGTTCATTGAATCTAATTAGTTTTACTTGAAACAGTTACTGACTACATACTTTTGGTTATATGCAGATGTCTATATATAATGGAGATGTTTACTTTTCATCGTTGCTGATAAATGTAGAGAAATAACATTTTAACTCGATGTCTATCGATCAAATATTTTTCATTTAGTTCAGTGTTCGAAGTGTATTTATTTTTATGATTTACACTTGTTGTGTTGATACTATTTGTGAAAGAGAGAAGAGAGGCAGACAATACATATGATACCGTCATAATGATGAACAATATTTCAAGAACAATGTATTTAGAAGTGGACAGCTAGCACAAAGGCTGGAAAGTTTAACTAAATTTCATTTCTATTTTGAACGTAAAAAAACGTTTCTCGCATCATTTTATGGTAACATCTTGCCCAAAGTAATTTTGTTGCGTGCAAAAATATAGTATATGACAGAGAAAATGTATAAAACTACGTGAAAAAATGATTTAGATCCCCTTTCATCTGGGAAAATTCCTGTACGAAGTAACGTCATTGTGACAGACAGTTCCGCATTAAAACCAACCCTCAAACGATTAGTCATTACTATTTCAAAAGACGATTACTCATTTTTTAATCGACAGAACACGATAAAGTCCATGAATAAAAGTTTCGAATACTGTTCTGAGAACCAAAAACACCTGCATATACAACAATATGAATTAGTTATCTGAAAATTCTGATGTGATCCTCTAGCAAAACAATTCTATTCTTGTTTTCAAATGAATGAATCATTTTTTAGTCTATCACAAAGTGTGTTTACACAAAGCATATGTGTTCAATCAATGGTAATAAACAACATAAATCATTATTTCGATTGATCTGTCATACATTTTCTACCTTCATCATCATCATCTCATACAGTTCAACGTTTGCAGAGCAGCAACACGGAACTTTATCTCTTTACCCACGCTGAAAGGAAAAGAAACATTTTATAGTTCAGTCACATCCTATAGCACATTTCCCGTTTATACTATTGTATTCACGCCACTACTACTATCTATCACTACTAGTCAAAGTTATCGATCTTTATGCATGAATACATGTCAAATTTACAACACAATAGTATCACTAAATTTATCTTTTAGATTGAATATAAAATGAAAACTGAATTAAATGAATTATTTCAATGTAAACTTTGTCATGGATATATTACACAAGCCACCGTTATTAATGAATGTCTACATCGATGTAAGTCTTTTTTTTTATTATTTATTAATATTTTAGTAAATATTATCAAAAAATTTCATATTTTTTACGAATTTGTATTAAACTTGCTTGAAAGTAACGTTCATTCTTTTTATAAACTAGTAAAAATCTTAGACAATTTGTAAAATTATCTTCCTCTAATAAGATCTTGATTGAAATCTGGATAAGGTTGGATCATTCTATTTTCATTCATCCTTTTATTTTGCTCTCTTACAGCTCTATAAATAACACTGAAAACAATAACTGAATTTTATATCGTCATTTTTCTTCCAGACTATACATGCGTGCTTGCTCTCTTGAAGATGTTTGACAACTGTTTAGACAGTATACGATGTAAGTCAACATGTCCTTTCTTGAAAACAGAAAAATCGGATAAACCTACTATGGAGTCATGATAGTTCTGACTCAAAAAAATAAAATTTGTTTTTTGCTTGAGATTGAGACTCTACCAGATTCTGAACTGTCCCAACTGAAGAAAGGTACTTTTACTTCGATTTTTCAAGTTTTGACGTCGAATTTCAGAGTAAATCGGGCGTAATTTATTCTGATTTTTGAAAAAAATAGAATTTGTATGCTCACTCTCTAATCCGAAAGCCTCAAGCACCTCTGAATACATTATCTTTTCTTAAAAAATCGTACGAAAAAATAACTATAATAAAGGGTGAGAAGAAATTTTATCAAATCTCAAAATTTTCTGATCTCAGTTTCTTCGACAAATGAAAACGAAATCTTAAGAAAATCTGAACAAGATTCGAGTAAGTTTTTGGCTCGGGAAGGACCAACTATTTACATGAGAAAAAACTGATAGAGCGTTTATTGATTGAATTTTTCTCTCCAAGTATCGATTGCTAAATAATAAACCAGATCAAATAAAGACATTTTATCCAACAAAAATTTATCCTTTCAATATCTCAGAACATAATTTTTATTATTTTTAGTTTGTAAATCGTGTATAGTGGATTATTTTCAAAATAAATCGGTTTGTCCTATATGCGGCTTAAACATACGAAATCCGTGGAATTCATTGAAGTAAGAAGAACGTTCATTTATCAATCTCAATTTTCTTTGACTTATCTCTTTATCTATCTGTTTTCATCACTCAACATAACTAACTACTATCTGTTTCACAATACAGTGCGCATGGCTATTTTTTGAATAATATCTTACAGAAGCGTGCTAAAAATGTGTGATTTCACTATTGGAAAGCCAATACCTAACTGTATCGAGGTAGTTGTGGTGCCCATTAAAACTACCACGTGCAGGTGGTGTACCACATCGCTCTTTGAAAGAGAAGATTTCCTGGCCAACAAAAAACATTTTTCCAGTTCCCATAGGCGGATTCGATCGTCCAACCTCTCAACTACAAATCCACGAAGGGTCGAAGTCTCCATCTATCAATGTTACCATATGGCAGGAGTGCCCCGGAGAGCCTCGGCTTTTGTGATATTCGACTTTAGGAATCTTAAAAACATATGAAAATATAGGTTCTCGACTACGTTGAATCTCGTGGCAATGTTTGTTGCTCACATTATTCAAAAAATAGCCATACGAACTGTATTGTGAAATAGATAGTATCTTAATCAATAGAATTAAGACACGAAGAACATATTTTTCTTTACTATATCTGTTTGATTGACATCTCACAGAAACTGAGCACCTGATTCTTAAGTTTTTGTAAACCTACTGCTCTTTGGTTTCATTCAATGCCAATTATCATTGGACATAAGAGTGGGTGTAATAACAATGTACTTAGAATAAAAAAACAACAATAATATCTTCTTATCTTATTTTTCTAGATTGGATGCTGCATTCCAACGTTTAATTTACACAATATTTCCATCAATATTAGAACGTAAGTTTTTAGTTTGTTACTTGTCTAATTTTTGGAACTAGTTAGTTATTTGGTAATCATCTTTTCTCTTTGTGTGTACAAATGTCGCTCAATGAATCTATACAAACATACAATCATATTGTGTTACCAAAGATGGAGTGAACAATCACCATAATATATAAATTTTTGTGTTTCAAAAATATCTTTCTTCATTTTTCATTTCACTCTTGTTCTTCTCCTTATTTAGTAAGTTTTTAAATCTCGCTTATTTTGATTTATGCTCATCTAAGATTCATATGGCAGCAATTAGTGTTGAACAAATTTCATTTCGACATGTATGGTTCTGCTTGTCTATATACTTCATCATTTACACTACATAAATTTTATGCTGATGAAAAGAGAGAGAGAGAGAGAAAGAAGAAAATTTAATACAACTTTTTTTCTATTCGTTTCTTTTATTTCTTCTAATGAATTAGATATTTTCTGATAAATGAGATAATGTATACTTCAATTGGCTGGTCCAATTTAGTCGAAATGAACATCTCTGACAAGAAAAAGAGAGAGAGTATATAAATTTGTGAATATTTTAACCATAATTTAAAAGAAATAAAAATAGAATTTTAATATAATTATATTAGATTTATCTTCAGATTCTTCTATCGATGTGCATGCGTGTCACAACATCTTTGATCAGATCATTCATTCGATTTAAGATATTCATTTTTTTCATGGATTTTTAGATGAAGCTATAAAAAATGTTCAGATAGATTAAATGAATTAGAGTATTTGCTGAAATGATTCGTTATTTGTTATTAAATATCAACAATAATGATGAGCAAATTTTTCTTGTTGTTCCCTATTAAGCATTTTACTGTTTATACAACGAAAATGACAGCATAACTCAAACTTCATCCGTCTGGTCATTAATGAGATGCATACAACGCTGAAATGTGCAGGAGAAATATTGCTCACTGGTAAAAATTTATGATTAAACATATTTATATGTCAGAATCTAATTTCATGTGTTTCCATGCTAATTTATTGCTTTTAAACATTTATATACACTGTCCTACTGGTTCGTCTACACTCGCACACTAATGGGATCACTTTAGTTAGTAGAGAATAATACATCCAATCATTTCACCCATTGTCCATGCTGAGGTCTCATGCGTGAAAACGCACAAAAACAGTGACGCACTGGATTTTTCATCTGGTGTGCAATAGACTCAGCACGTTAGAGATACCCACGAGTAGGTATACTAGTTCAAGTCGTTCGATGGATGACTGTTTTTTTCTTGATACCTTTTTAATACAGATTCCATCATGAAATGGTTAGTAGAAAGAAAATCAAAGTTATCCAATGGAGACATTGATCGACGATACTATTACATATACGTACTCTTTTCAAAATTTCCGCTATAGCAAAAAATCTAAATAATACACTAGATTATGTGGAAAAAAATTGCAGAATAAAATCAGATCTAATCCAAACTTTGTGAACAATAAATTTGAAAAAAACCCCATTTTACTCTTTAATACAGATCGAGTCATCTATTATCTATTATTTTCATTTTTTTATTTATTTTTGTTTTAGGTGAAATTAATAATCATTCGACATTCATTAAAAAATCATTAAAAGTTTCTAATATTGGTAAGTTTTTTTCTATCTCCTAGTACATATTGTGTTCATAAAAAATTGATAATATCGAGACAAAAGAATGGCCTCAGAGGATTTTCTCTCATTATCTATTTCATATTGAAGATGTTGTCAAGTTCTCTGTATATTCATGTCAAATAGAACATAAAAAAAAAAAGAAAAAAAAGTTTAATTAAATTCTGATTGACACAGTTGTTCATATATAGACGATAGTCTTGTACTAAACTCTGTTTAAAAAACAGGAAACTCGTTTTTGACTAACAAGGAAATCAAATTCTTGACCTTTTAGAAAGTTCATTCTAGATCTATTAACTAATTATTAATGTAATAATCATTTTGAGTGGAAAAAAGTTTATACAAATTTTGTTGCCTGTTACTTCAATTCAAAATTGAAATATTTTAAGCAGTAAAAAATATTCTTGAATTTTTTTGTTTCGAATTTGATAATAAACTCTTTATCATTCTCTATTTTAGATCATTTAACAATTTATGATGAAACAATCATAGATGTTTATCTTGAATATTGGGACTTGTAAGTAATTTGTACAAATAATATTTCGACTCTCTTTTTTTTTTCTACAAACATATCGGAAATACTCAAACAAATTTTTTTTTGTTTTCTTGATTATTGACATAGTCCACTAATATTTACTCTCTTATTTTGATACACATGCATGTACGTACACATATTTCGTTTGATCATTCCAGCAATCGGCACTTTTATTGCTCTTAATTTTGGACAAAGTTCATTCATATTATTCGCTAATAGCAATTAACAAATTCATTTATTTTTTTTTTCTATTCTTAGACATCTCGAGAGCGAGCGGTCAAAATTTTTTTCTCTTTTTTTTTCCCTTCTCTTTCGTTTAATTCTTCGTAAATGGTCATATTTCCGTTTTTTTTTTTTTTAAACAGTTAAATATTCAATAGCAGAAAATAAAATCGACTGTTTCTGTACTATAAAAAAGATACAATGTGAGAGAGAAAGAGAAATTATATATAATTATGTGTCCAGCAACATACACTATTTCCCGTTTATCAGTGTTCATTCAGCCAAAAATATCAAAATTTTTTTTTTTCTTTGAAAACTTCTTAAATGAAACCCTACAGTTATCCTAGAACTAACTATATACGAATGAAAATTTAAAGTGAATCGATAAGAAATGTCTAGAATTTCTAAATTGTCTAAATATAATCTATTACACTGCTATCAACTAGTGTGTTAAATATTCATAGATAACTTTATTAGTGACAATAATATATGTCAACAACCAATGTTTCTAGCCTTCAACACTCTTTCAGATACGAAATTTTTTTTTTCTCACTGAAAAATAATAGAATTAAATAATAACAACAAAAACTGAATATAAAAAGTTGATAGTTATAAAATTCATAGCTGAACAAAAAAAATATCACTTTTTCTAGTTATCTTTTTTTTCCAATGTTATATTTAGATCTTCCGAACTTTTATCTATTGATTGTGATACATCTTCAATCTTAACTGTAGGTATTTTTATCTCTCTTTTCTATTTCTGTCTATTGATCTAAGATTTACGAACATTATTCTTTTCATATTTTAGTTGATACCATGTTACTTAGAGTGTATAGCCAGCTTACCAGTTCGACTTGTTGAAAAATTTATACGCATTAAACATAATATTGAACCAACATTGAAAGTGAGAGACAATAATTCGTACATAATATAATTAGTGATATTTTATACTTTTTACTTTGTTTTTAGATTGATTTATTTTACAAAACACATTTACTAGATTTAAATGAACGTCTTATTGATGTATGCTATTGTTTCAATCAAACAACTAAGGTGAGATTAAAGAATAGATGAAATTCTTATTTTTAATATTTCATCTTTTTACTTTTATCACATTTAAAGAGATTTAAATTTATTTAGAAAAATAAATAACTACTTTAACTTAGATTCTGTCATAAATTGATATGTGTGTACTGAAATTAAAACTTGTATTCTTAGAGAGACATCTCCGCAGTATGAGAATCAATTACTAAAGATATTAATTATAATAAAAATGTGTTTATTTTGTTTTAATTCAAATCACTATATTCATTGGACAAGAATTTAAAAGAGAACGATTTTCCACTTTTTGGAGAACGGTTCGCATTTTTTAGAAAACGGACAATTTTTATAGCTGAAACGAGAACGGTTTTTGAATTTGTATGTATGATTCATATGTGATATAGTCTCCTGATCTTTGACAATGTTCATCTTCAGTCATCATGAATTTCCGAATTATCGAATCAGTAAAATGTACATGTTATTCAAAACAGTCAAAAAAACAAGAAGTAAATTTTGAAACAAAACCAAACAATATGTTTCGATGTATGAAATAACGTGTTTTATTTCAACAATGCCAAGCGTGCCTTCTTTGATCGACCTCGTTTTTTACCGAAGTTTTCTAATTTTGACGGTTCTTGAACATGATAATATCCAAATGCATCATTATTCCCAATGCAAGATGATAACTAGGATAACTATAGTTATCATAGTTTATACCATATGCTTTATTTCTAATTTAGTCAGAAAAATTCAAAACCGTTCTGCAAATAATCTAACCGTTCTCTTTTCGTTCATCCGTTCTCGTTTCAGCTATAAAAAATATCCGTTCTCCAAAAAGTAAAAAACTGTTCTCTTTTAAATATTTTCCCATATTCATTGGCATATCTGTAGTTTTTTATGATTCAAATGACTTATTTTATGAGATATTTATACTATCGTCACTTATAGACTAACTTAAATATAAAAAATTTTATTCATCGATATTTGTTTATCTAAGATAAGAGTTAATTGCGTTAGAGTACGTGTAGATATAATTAAACAAAAAGAGCCCTGTGTATATATATTTGACATGCCATTTAAAACTCTCGTGCTAATGATTGATAGACTAGGAATCATTTTCCATAAAACTTAATATCTAATAATATTGATTAAAACAATCCCTACTCAAGTACTACAGGGTAAGAACCTGTATTTGTCAAAATTTTTCTTCAACATATTTTTGTTCTACTAATCGAATTATTCAAAAAATCATTATCAGATTAAGTGGCGTCTCTCACAGCTTACGAAATGCAGATATACATACACACACACACAGAGAATCAAGCATAGTCTAATTCCAGTCAACATGAACTTGTACATTATTGTTTTGCTTTTTATTTTATTTTAAGAAACGTTCTCTCGATATCAGATTTGTTATTAGTCAAAAAGGATATTTAACCATCATTGAATATTTACGACGCAAAAATTTATTAACCATAAGAAAAAAGAAAAAAGATAATGATACTGTACGTTCATTACGTCCACGACTATTATCAACTATCGAATCAAATCGTACACCTAAATTGTCTCGACGACAATCAATTGCAGCTGTTGTCCCAATAATACGACGTTCTGTTAATAGACAACTAATAAACGATGAACAACCGTGTATTGCTGTCGAACGTTTTATTGAAGATCCAATAGTAGAAGATAATGATTTAGCACCGTTACACATTGATACAACACAATTTGAATCATCAATTATTCATGTAGAAAATGTTGATACTGAAGCAAATCTCAACACTGAACAACAACCAGTAAAAACTAATGATATTATTAGTGAAAAACAAATATTATCGAGTGGAGCCAGTACAACATCTTCGACGACAGATCCAGCGAATGATCCATCGTTAAAAGTAAAGATTCGTCGAGTTAAAACATCCTGGTATATTCCACAGCAAATAGATGGACAACATACTAACACTAATCCAACGGAGGAACAGCCATTACCCGATTTAATTAATTCGTGTAGTAAAAAAATAACAAAACGAAAAAAACCGATAACGGATAAAAGTTCAATTTTTTCAACGAAAAAATTATGTACGACAAAAGATTTTTTTAGTTCTAATCGTACATTAACACCATCGATTATAGCAAGTACAACGAAACCAGTTATGGCACGAAAAAAACGTAAAGCTCGTTTTGTGCCAACTATGGTTAAACCACCAATGTCCATATTCGATCGTGACCATCTTCTCACGGGAGCATATGATTACTGTGATGATTTTGATTTTCGTCCATGTTCATCTAAAACCACCGTATCAATAGCAGCGCCACGCTCACCTGAAATCGTGATCATTAATGTTGAAGGTGGAGTAGAAACAAATGAAAGTAATGGTATCATGGGAGATTCGACAGTTTCTACTTTACAAAAAAAGAACATTTGTAAAGTTCCACCATATGTACCCGAAACGAGTTCTTTATCACCGGTGAAATTAGCAACATCATTACCTGTCGTTGTTGTTCCAGCATCAGACGATAAAATAGAAACGATTTTAACAACTGCTACATTATCACCAAAGAAAAACGATATTCCGCCATCCATTGTTGATGTATCATCATTGACCACCACTACCGACGAAACACTATCATCTACAAAAAAAATTCGTATGCTAAATTCAGTTCCCAAACTGAAAACAACAACACATAAGCCATTTTATTTTACAAAACCAACATCGCCGACATCATCTTCATCAATTATTTCAATTTCACCAAACATGACGACAAAACGTACACTTTTACCCAAAACTACTTCGGCAACCAAAACTATAAAAATCGTTTCCTCATCAACGTCCTCGAGTTTAAAGAATTCTGTTCGAAATATAACATTGAATAGTTCTGATAAAACGAAACAACTAACAGAACTTCAATGCAGTAGCCACTTAATGTCATCGTCGACTTTATCTGCTCCTATTACTTGCAGTTTTGATACGATACCGTTAGATCTAAGCATGAAACGAAGTTAGCTTTTCAATCTATACTACTTTTTATATTACTCTGTAATTGTCTTTACCAAAATACTTCAAAAAAAACAAATATCTGATTTGAACAAAATATTAAAACACTACAAGATCCTAATATTAGTAATTTTATGTTATTTTGTCACTAATTTCGAGTGGAAACCATCATAAAACATTTGGTCATTTTTTCCTTTTGAGCTGAATGTTTTCTTGAAATATTCGTGTGAAATTGATCACCGTATTTCTCTCATCAATGTCTGATATACTAATGAAATAGAGAAGGTCAGATATCATCACTAAGTCGATCTTTATTTCATCTTCTTTCTTTCGTGACATATCTTGACAAATGATTAACTTAATTGAAAACGTATGGTAGACAGAGGCAAAGACATGAATTTTATTTGTATTTAATTTTTCTTTTTTTTAAACTTCTAAGTGTCTCACGCACAGGAAACAGTGTTTTTATATTTGTTATTTCTACTCTATTTACGATATAGATAGGGTTTACAACACATAAGTGGAATTCTTTTCTCTTCTTTATATGAACACACTTTTCGTAACTGATATACATAACTACTTCCAATGTCTTTTATTCTCATTATTTATTTAACTGACTGTTTCAATAAATGAACAATTGTTGTTGATTGTACAAATCTCGTTTGTCATTATCTTGCACCGTATTGACCTAATTGGGTACATATGATCAAAGCGACATGAACTGAAAACGGATAATGTGAATAAACTAAAATTATTTCCATAAAAGAGTGAGATTATTATTTAGCAAAGGACGAGGGTGCATTTGAGCGAGAATTGGCCCACTCGTATTTTTCCACTTCCAATGATCAAATTTATTAGAAAAGTCACGTTTCTATTATTCTCTGTCATTCTCGAGCGAAAAAAATTAAAAAAATGGTGAAAAAAAGTTTTTTTCCACCATCATCGTCTTACTGTCCCCATTTAACTAGTAATTTAATTATTTCTCTTGTCCAAAACAATAGATAAGATTCATTCGACCATTGCTAGATAGACGATGAATAACTGAATTGAAAGGCACCCAAATCATATCTTCGCTGCTATTTGTTAAAAAATGGCAGACCAAACTTTTATATGGTTACATACTTAATAGGATACCGATTCGCAAAATTTTAATTCTTTTGTGTACTAAAAAGTCAGGTTGCATCTCAGTTTATACATATTTCGATAGCCCTTGAAATTCTCTACAAACTGAGCTAGTTAGTATGTCTCGACTGGTTGGCCCAATCACCAAAGACATGCAAAAAACGCGCTGGACTACGGAAAACAGCTGCAGAATAGTCTTTTAGAAGTCTTTTCTGTCCTAATGAAAAACTAAATACTTTTCAACAGGATGTCATTGGATAGTCCATGAAATTCTCTACAAATTGGACTGGTCGGAAAATCTAAATAAGTGGCGCCAGCCATTAAAGACATGCAAAAGAAGCATTTGGATGTTGTATATGCAGTACAGTGATGTCATAATCATAAGAACTCCTTTTTGTTTTTAATTTTTCAGTAAAAGCTGGAACCAATCTGAATACTGTTTTGCATAGCCCAAAGAATTTTCTATCACATGAAGTGCATATCGCCATTTTATGAGAAAACTTAATAATAGAATTTCTGGAAAACCTAACCGCTAAAAAACCAAGTCTTTGCGTTTTTGGTCAGAAAATTTTGTAAACCATATAGGTGGGTGAAAAAGCGTTATATACAGCCAGAACATATCATATTTTGCTCTATCAGGCTATATGGTTTGCAAAATTTTCTGACCAAAAACCAAAGACTTGGTTTTTTAGAGTCAAGGAGAAAGAGAAGAATAGAAACGTGACTTTTCTAATAAATTCATTGAAAGTGGAAAAATACGAGCGGGCCGATTCTCGCTCAAATGCGTCCCCGTCCTTTTACAACGGGTGTAACTTACCTAGATGAATTGTATAGCTAATATCGCAGTGTTAATAAACCTGTGCATAACAGAGGTTGTCATATGCTGGACCAACTTTCTTAAAGCTTGTTTATAGTCCGAGTCTCAATCTGAAGACCTTTATTTATGCGGGTCTAACTCTCTTTGTCGAGAAGAGACAGCCAGATCTTACTGAAGTCGATCGGTACACTTTCCTACATTTAGAAGTATTATTTTTAGTCTTTAGTCAAATGACAATGCATTTTGACAGACAGAATAGAACTTTCTCGACAAAATGATTATACTTTCATCTAGTTTTGAACAAATTTGACTAGTCTATATCTTTATTGTAAAAAACCATGATACACGGCATCAATGATAGAAAATTTCATTTTTATCAATCTCAAAGATTTAACCCATGGTCGTACAAAATAAATACCTGTGATACCATTAAATAGAAATGTTAATAGAAATCCAAGCCAGTTGGGCATTGTCACGTTACATTTTTTTACTAGCACATGCTCGATGTTAACAGCAATACCTTGCATAGTGAAAAATAGTAACTGTTCACCAGTAATTATTTGAAATGCTCCATAAACAATATATTCGTGAATAATGCCACTAAATAAAAATACAGCCATGGCTGGTAAACCAAAATAGATGAGTTTCGTGGATGTTGGATGAAGTTGACGAATCAACGTGGATATTGGAATATAAATAATATGAAGCCAAGTATTACGATACCTATAAAAAAAACATCGAAAAACGTCACAAGCATGTCAGAATTACTTGGAAATGTTTTAAACTAACGAGGGAACCTCCCCAAATGTACTCTCGTTCTTTTAACGAAATGTAGTAGGTTGTAGGTAATCCACCATGCTGGTTTCCAATATGATATTCATTTGGGTCCATAGGCCTTTCCTGGCTGGTTTCTAGAAAACCAGTTTTCTAGAAACCTCGAAAAATCCACAAAACTTTTTCTAAATAAGTCATGATTGTAGCCCGCGAAATTCTAACCAAAATGAGAAATCTCTCAGCTTTACACAACCTTCCTTTACAAAGTTATAGAGTTTACAAGAAAAGCCCTAAATGTTCATCGTCACCTCAGAGCTATAGAAAGAAAAAGGAAAAATGAATTTAGGGGGCTTTTCCTGTAAATTCTATAACTTTGTAAAGGAAGGTTGTGTAGAGCTGGGAGATTTCTCATTTTGGTCAGAATTTCGCGGGCTACAATCGTGGCTTATTTAGAAAAAGTTTTGTGGATTTTTCGAGGTTTCTGGAAAACTGATTTTCCAGAAACCAGCCAGGAGAGGCGTATGAACCTAAATGAATATCATATTCGAAATCAGCATAGTGGATTACATTTTGTTAAAAGAACGAGAGTACATTTGGGGAAGCTGCCTCGTAACTTAATCATTGGTATGTACAGGGTGATCCAAAAAAAACTTACCCCCTATGTATTTATTGACTTTCTTATGTACAAATATAATTAAACTTTTTATCATTAGTTTATTCAAATACAGCAAAGATTTCTGGACAAAATGAGACGTCTCCGAGCTCTCTAAGAGCTATTCTCATGAAACAGCATTCAATTTACGGAAGGTCCCATACCACCAAAATCGGGACAATTAATGGGCAAACAAGAAAAATATGCTCTTGGGACCTTCCGTAAACTCAATGCTGTTTCATGAAAAAAGTTCTTAGAGAGCTCAGAGACGTCTCATTTTGTCAAGAAATCTTTGCTGTATTTGAATAAACTAATGATAAAAAGTTTAATTATATTTGTACACAAGAAAGTCAATAAATACACAGGGGTAAGTTTTTTTTTGGATCACCCTGTAACTATTGACCAAGCCAATTTTTGTAATTCTAGTTTGTTGATTTTTCATGTTATAAAAATAAGTTTTTAATTCACAAGATCTCTTGTTGAAGAGAAGATGCATTGTGCACCCAATGGTAAATGTTGAAATATAGGAAGAAAATACTTATGAGTTTTTTACCATATTTTATTTCAAAAGAACGTTGTGTAGGAATCTATGTATCTGAGAATACACGTGTTTTTCTACTTTGTGCGGCTTATTACAGATTAATCAAAACAGATAGCAAAAACGCAGGTTCATGCAAACGACTCATTTGCAAATTTTCAGAACATAAGATAAAAGAGAACGAAAGTAAGAAAAATGTTCTGAATTTTACTGGATCGGTTGTAAAAATAGCATGTCTTATTACCACAATGATTCACTTACATCTGATGCCATCTCTTCCAAAAATTCTTTGGTGATGTTGCGAGATATGGTGAACGAAATAATTCTGGTATTGTATCCAATCGTCTATTGAAAATAAGTACAAGTATTGTTTTGACACAATCATAATTAAACAAAAGGAAGACGAATATGATATAGCCATATAAATGAGTAATAATAATCTTTACAATTAGACAATGTGAATCGTAATTTGAGCTAAGTTCGTTGACTAAAAACACTAAAATATCTAAGAACAGATAATGTTTTATAATATCTAATTGGAGATGAAAATTATCAGTTAGTTTGACATAAAGTGTCGTAGATGGTGAGAAAATTTGTTTATTTTCAATTAAATTAACTGTTTTGTGTGACGTATAGACGAGATGTGAATATAATTCATGATGCATATCGAAAAATGTCCATGTGGAAAATTCTCTTGAACGATAGATAATCCATTCGATTACTTTTTGGGTATGATAAATTGCCACACCTACAAAATATGACAAAAAAAAGGTTGTAAAAATACCTTACGCCTTTAGCTTTCTGATCAATAGTGATATTAAATCAAACTTTTCTTTCTCTTTACCTTAAATAATAATTTTCAACATCTTACCTGCTGTTAGTCCATTGAATAATGCCGATGGTAGTCTATGACATAATGGTATGACTAATAAGTAAAGAATAACTGGTATCGCACATAATCTGGATAGAATAGTAACACGACTCAAACAAAATAATAGAAACAGCGGAATATATAAGGCGAATAGAATGAGACTTAATGGAATATAAGTTTTAAAACTCTCATTTATTTCTGTTTCGATGAAATCTGCGATTAATTTTCTCAGAAATGTTTCACTATAGTACATTTTATCCGATAATTTATAAACTTCAAACGTTTTTCAAACTAATTTCCATAAATTCCATCACAATCTTTACCGTCCTTCGAATTTAGTTGTCGCTGTATACCTGTTTTTTCAAAAAACGTGCTTTCACATCCTCTTAACAAAACATGCAAGCATTGTTTCTTACTTTTGAATATTTTCTTTGTGTTCTGCCCCACACCAACGTGGCTTTTTGATGACTAAACAAGAGGCTTTTTATTTTTCTGTACGTCGAAGTTAATTGTAGAGTGTGTGTATGTGCATATGTATGAGGGTGTGTATTATCTGTCGAAGTAAAATTTATCAAAACTTTTCGTTCTACAAAGTTCGAAACAAACAGGTTAGCGTAAGCAGAATTTATATTGAGATCTTATTTGTATATGTCGTACGAATGTCATTCTAAGAAAAGAAGAATACTGCTATATAAGATTTCATAAAAACATCACCAGAGATAATCAGTTGAGGCGCCTCCTGGGTCAGAAATGCCGATTTTCGTCAGAAATATCGATTTTGAGAAAAGCACATGAGTGCATAGCCCAAAGTGTCTAATTTCTAATGGCATAATTTTTGTGTCGATAAGATAGGTTTTGAGCGAGTTTTCCAGAACCCCTAGAGCACAAAAAATGGCTTTTTTGTACTTGTATAAGCGCACGCATGTGCCACACATGTCTGTGCGCATGTTCATTAGATCCGCCATAACCAATAACCTATAGTAAGTATCAAGAAATTATTTAACACTCAAATAGTTTTTAACTAAAACGCATTTAACAGAATCAAACTTATTTTGTGTTTTTCTCAAGGCTGTTTTTTATTTTAGCATCAGAGCTTTCGCCACGCACAGGAATTCTCGGTAACGATACATCGGAGAAGGAAAATTTTTTATTTTATTTGTAAGTACACCTACAGCTAGGAGCTGACAGAGTCCGATTTTTAAATTATGCTTCTATTTTTTATAGAAATGCGGATTTCGAAGGATTTTTCCGACTTTAAAGTTCTGTTAAGCACCAGAAATCAGCAAATGAGTAATTAAAAAGTTGGACTCTGTCAACTCCTAGGCACAGGTGTTTACTGCAAAACAACAACAGCCCGAGCTCTCTGTCATTTATCTGGAATGAGAATTTCTGTGCGTGGTAGACGCCTATTTTTGGCCCTTTACTAGCAGCAATTTTGTGTTTTTTTTCATTTTTTAAGGGTCCCTCTCTCTCACTCAGAAACCTATTTTCGTTTAGGAACATTTAACCTTGATGAGAATTCCAGACAATGTGTACCTTAAGGTAACTTAGTCATTCTACTAACTACAGCCTCTTATCACTTGTTTTCCCAGACTTATTCTTAAGTTAGTGGTGAAAAAGTATGGTTTCATACTTCCAAGATTCCTCCGCCATTTTTCGAGTTAGAAATTTCGGATTAGTTTCAAAAAATAGAGAAATGTCTTTTCTATGTCGTAACGTCGTTGGATTTTGCAATTTAAGTTTAGTTTACGAGAAATTTAAAAAGTTTCCGACAACTTAGGGAGCATTATCGCAAAATCGACTTATAATACGCGGAACAGAATCGGTCCAAATTTTTTTTCTGAATAGCTTATTGAATGAATGTACGGGCAGCAAAGTATTTCTTTATTCAAATCACTTTTCGCATTTTGCCTGTTACTTTTTGATGCAAGGTCATACAGAGTTGTGTGAGGTCTGAGGTCTTATTTTGATCAGAAACATTTACTCTACAAATCTGTGTGTTCAGAAAAATTTTAATTGCATAAGTATCCAGGGAAACAGTATTATTTGAAGACTCGCTTTTTCAAGGCTCTTAGAAAACCTGCTCAAAATCCCCGAAAAACCACTTTTGTAACCAAAAGCAATACAGATTCTGGAAGTAGACACTTCAGGCTATCTTTCTATGTGCGTATCTCAAAACCAATTTTTTGATCGAAAATCACCATTTCTGGGGGAGAGTCCTTAAACCGACACCGAAAAAATCTAAAGCATAAAGTACTGTCGTATCTCATTTAATGAGACTTCTTATACTGATTCAGTAGTTAGATAACAAATATTTACTAAATACCTCACGACCGATACTGGTACCGGTACCGAATAATACTGATTTATAGCGCTTTGTTAAAAATTAATTATAGCAAAAAGAACAGATGAAGAGTTCTGATATATCTTATTTGTGTAGAAAAATGTTTGCTCTGCAAAACCAAGTCGCCCAAAAACGTCGATATATTTTACTTTATAATCGATCTAATTAAGAAAAAGGATAAAATATACTAGTAAATGCCTAACCAAGAATCTGATACCACTACTGATGGAATAACGATATCCGGCAAAGACATTCTATTCTCATTATTTCTCTACAGTGATGGCATCAATGTAGGACATTGAATTTGTTTTCGTCTTTGATACTTTAGTAAGACTACAAAACCTGATAAAATCTTTGTGAAAGTTTTCATTCACAAATATAGTTTCGCTAAATAAAAATTAGCGAAAAATTGTTTCCTGTGGATAATCTACTGCAGAATGTTTAACTACTAATATTTTGTACATTCCATTTTGTTTTGTTAAAAATGTCAAGAAAAACGAGCAGTCAAAAGAAAGAATAAAGATATATATAAACATTAAAAAACAACAACAGAGAGATAAATAATTCGAAACGCATAATTGTCGAGGTTAGCGAAGTGTAGATGAAACTGATCAACCATTTTGCTCTTCAAATACTTCTGTTTTAACTACTGACGTTGTTGTTGTAATATTTAATGCATTTGAATCATGTTGCTGATGATTGATCGTCGTATCTAATGTAGATGTATGTTCTGGTTCGTCTGTTGGTGGTGATGATACATATAACAACGGTGTTGTACACGTACTGTGAGACGTTTCAATTAGTACTGGTGTCGAGCTTGTTTTTATTGAGGGTGGTAAATCAGATGTTGTAGTTGTGACATTATTTTGCATGTGTTGATGATTGTTATTATTCGGTGAAATAGTCGATGTCTGTATTTTATAAGCACGTCGCGTACCGCCACATAGTAGATTTTCAGTTAGTTTTTGCTTTAAATCTGGTCCACACAATTTCTGATGTAATGACCAATCGCGATGTTGACAAAATAATCCGCAATATCGAGCAACTGAACAACCACTGCACGTTTCAATAGCTTTTCGACCACAATGCCAACATTGCTAGAAAAGAAAAGTATACTAATCAGTAAAGTAAGTATACTCGTAACTTTTACATCTTCATTTTTGTGTAATTTTCGTGCTTGCCTTTGAAATGTTTATGTAGTTTTAAAGTAGAGAAGGTTCTATGGAAAAGTGAAAGTTATCCGGTTTTTAGTTCGGTAATGGGCCAATATCAACTGGAGATAGCAAAGTGGCATAAATACTGTTTTCCTTTTGTTTAAACCATGCATCTTTACGATCAGTTAAAAAATAGAGATTTTATCTCATGTGCTTACTTCTGGACCATCTTCTTGTATGTTTAGAAGAGTATAGGCATCTTCAAATGATTTCTGTTTTACTTCTTGAGTAATTCGTTGAAATTGTTCTCGTTCACACGTTAATAATTCAGAAGATTTTTGTTCAGAATTAGATACTGCTTTTTGAATATCAATCAAACCTTGACGTTTTATTTCAATTACTGTTTCTTCTAAAATAAAATGATGCGGAAATTATACAAAGTATCATACGTGAGAAAATTTTGGAAATTAGATCGATTATCTAATGTTAAACTCGATAGTCTTCTCTACCTGCTTTTCTTCTAACTTCCATGATTCTATCTTCCGTTTGTGTTAATAATTCTGAATGCCTTCTTCTCCATTCTTAAATGGCAATAAACAACAACATGAAAAACTTCGTTCTTATTTAAACTTTGACTAACATACCTAAATCGTTTGTTTCTACAAGTCGACGTAGATGTGTATCTTTTTGTTGCAAAATAAATAGGGCACGTTTTGCTTTTGTCACCATATCTAATACACAATTCAACATCTATAAATAAAGATAATATTTAGATTTAGCGATGACTCTTAATAGTGAGAAAACGTACACTTTCCGCATTTTTCCAATCATCATCCATAGTTTTATCTGTTATGTCTTTGAAATCGGATGCATATTCTCGAAGATCTAAAATAGAAAAAATATATTTCATTTCATCCTAGATTCGTGCGTATATGTGTGTAAGATATGTACAAGCTGTAAATGATCGTTCTTTATCTTTAAAATCTCTTCGCATTGTATCCACCAAACGATTTGATGACGATGTCGAGTATGAATTTGTTGTGCTAGTTGTTATTGTCGAATAAAATGAATTATTTTTTAATGATAAATTTGGGTGCATTAATGGAGGTGATGTACATGCTGTCGATGAATGTTTTGATGGATACTGTTTGTCGTCTAGCTCACGTAGACTAGAAGAAGAAAAAATATTGACATATGAATTTCAATATATGATTTTATCACACTTACTCATCATTTAATTTTCGTTTTCCATTTTCATTAAAGTCTTTTGTACTTATTTCTGAAATTTCACGCGGTAAAAATATCAAATCTTCACGTTGAGAAATAAATTGTGCAGTAGATTGTTTCGCTTGTCGAGCCATATATAAAATATCTTTTTGTAACAATGGTAATGTTGTCTAAAATAAAAATTATATATTAATTTGAAATGATTTTATGTTTTAATTGCACTTACTTTTAGAAATGGTAATGCAAATGGTCTTAATGGAAAATTTGTTATCTGTTGTACTTTAGCATGAAACTCTTCAACAGATACTGCGTTATTCTAAAGAAAAATATTAAAAAAAAGGTTGAAAACAATAGCAATTTTGACAACGAACAATTAAAACAACAATGTTCAGCATATTTAGAAAATACTCTAATAACAGGGAAGTAAACTCTATTACTCTGATAATATCTTCAAAAATCTAAAGATTTTAAACCACGATAAGTTGAAAATAACGCCTGATAAATTAAGAAAGCATATGTTTTCTCTTACACTACATACCCAATCAACACATATATGGGCACACAGTCAATATTTTGTGAAAAATTATCGGGCCATATCGATTCTACGCTATAGTTTCCTTTTGATAAAAAGTCCAAAAACGAAGAAAAACACGTAATTATATGTCTTCGTGTGTCACTTTTCCAAATATATTCTTAGAATTTTTCAAAAGTTCTTTATTTCTTTGAAAAATCATCATTTTTTTCCTGTGAAAAGTTTTAGGACCATCTAACCTTTTTCTTTCGTAAATGAATATGAGTGAACTGAAATAACTTTCAATGGTACCATTGGAACGAGCATAAAACACGGACTATGACTGGTACATTTAAAGTCGTAGAGTTTGAATAATTTTTCAAAATTGTTTTTCTGTAAGATATTAAAGCAAAATTTTATTTTTGAACTTATTATACATGACTGAATAGAGCTGATTGAGAAAATGTATTTTTTAATTTTTAGAAAAAGATTTTTGAGGGTGAAAAATTGAAAATACTTGAAAGATCTAGAAAATCGAAAAATCTTTCAAGTTCAAAAAAAGCTCAATATCTGAGTTTCAAACAACTATACAAATTTCAAAAGATTTTTTTCTTATTCAGCATTAAAAACTGAGTAGAAAAATGGTGTTGGATCAATTTCGAAATTAAAAGAAATTTTGGCCGTAATTCTCAATTTTCTCAATCAGAATTCAACTTTTTAAACAATAAAAATATCATATTCGGAATCAGGATCAAAAACTGAGTCAACTAATCTGTATTTCTGTCCTATCTGGCTAGTTCACTTTTTTGCGAATTTTCACGTTGAAAAAAAATTACCGAGATTTTCACCCAAAACTGAAAATAAGCTAAAAACTTCGAAATACAGATTAGTTAACTCAGTTTTTGATCCTGATTCGAAATATGATATTTTTATTGTTTAAAAGGTGAGTTCTAATTGAGAAAATGGAAATTTCAGCCAGAATCCCAACTTTTTTGTCTCTGATTTAGAAAAAATGAATTTTCCCAGCAATGAAGCAAAATTTTAAAAAAAGCGAGTCATACCCCTAACACGAAAATCTAGATAGGCTTACAAAATCCCTTGTCCGCGCTTTAGACAGTGTGTTTGGAACGTCTACGTTGAACAAGCTGTTAACTTTCAATTTGATCCAACACCATTTTTCTATTCAGTTTTCAATGCTGAATAAGAAAAAAATCTTTTGAAATTTGTATAGTTGTTTGAAACTCAGATATTGAGTTTTTTTCTTCTAGGTTTCTAAACAAAATTCTAAGAATATATTTGGAAAAGTGACACACGAAGACCTATAATTACGTGTTTTTCTTCGTTTTTGGACTTTTTATCAAAAGGAAACTATAGCGTAGAATCGATATGGTCCGATAATTTTTCACAATACTATAAATTTGATAAAACATAAGTAATTGTACATCATAAAGTGTGATGAATTAACACCTCTCTATAAAATCAGAAGAGCACACGTCGATTGCCTCATTTATGTTGAAAAAATGTCAATCTGTACAAAATGATAAACTATTATTCACACTCTACCACCAGAATGAAATTAGTAATTAGTAAAAAATGAGAAATCTTTCATTTTAACTACTAGTAGAGCTAAATAAAATTTCTTTCTATACAAGGTGTTATTTGAATATAGTACGAGTTAATTTTAAAAATAAGATTTACTATTATCTGCCATAGAAAATAGGGCATCTGACATTAAATGTGACTTAAATTGTTCAAACGTACCACTACTTACTACAATAGATAATATTAATGTTTTAACACGTTCACCAATTTCACTAGAAATATCCGATCCGAAATGATACAATGTACTTAGAAAACGTCTTAATTTATTTAATTGTCTTGTTTCTAAGCGTGGTGATGTTGAACGCGTTAATTGTGGCGTAGGTAATAGTGAGCCTTTTGTTGTACCATTTGATAATAGAATGGCCGGTGTAACGATTGTTGTCATATTTACTGTTGAAGGAGATGTAGTAAATTTATCTAACGTACAATTTGGAGAATCAGCAGGCATACGAAGAATCAATCTGAAATAAAAATTATAATAGAATTATTTTAAAAAGAACTATATATGAGAGAAACGTAACTTTCTAGTACAATCACTTGTTTAGATATGTTTCTGTAATAATTCAGGTTACAAGAGGCTCGCTTGAACAAATTTTTTCCTGGGCTTTGCCTAGTACTTTGCCCACTTCCACAAAAATTTTCTACTCGATACGTCCTTTCGTTGCAAAGTTATGGGACTCGAAAGTTGAAAAAATTTAATTTTCTGATGACTCATCATCTGAAAACTGAGTTTTTGATTATATAAAAAGATATAAAAAGAAAAGGAAAGCAGCGCCGCATCCTGTAGAGAATTGAATTGTGAATCTAACCATATGATTAGTGTTCAACTTTGTTTACTTTTTTTTGTTGTTCTTTAGATATAATCATTTTACAAGCATCTTTTCC